CGGGGCCAGGTATGGTAACGCTTCCAGCAGATTTATGGGGATGACCCAAAGACCCCATTTCTAACTGTCAACTTGGATCTACGTAGCCACTGAAAGAGCAGAGTGTGGGTTGTGGGTACCATCCAGCTAATAGCTTCTCTGTTGCCTCCCCAGGATTTGCTCTCGCAAACACACGCGTCTCCCATAATGCTCTTTTTAAAAAGTATGTATTTCTGATTTTTCTGGATAAATGCGTTTGTACTCTTCTTCAGATTTGGCTAGCTACTCTTGGCAGGAGCTCCCCCTTGTCTGTGTCTTAGTGTTTCTCAAGCACATAGTTTGTTGAAAATTCTAAGAGCTTGTATTGACAGCCCCAAGAATAAAGTGCTCTATTTGACAGCAAAGTATTTTCTAGAAAACATGACTATCTACAAAACACTGGGGGACTTCTCGCAGTACTATATATCGTTGCTGTTAGCTCCAAGGTCTACCAGCGGGGAATCCTTCTACCCAGGTTCTTCAAAGCTTCGCTCAAATTTCAGCATGCTTGCTCCCTCTCAACAGAATTTATAGAACTGGATGTTTGGCAGAGGCCCCCCGAGTCATCTGCTTCCACTCTGTCTTTCCTCTCCAGCTTGAGTATTCTCTCCTGGCTATCAAGTGGCCCGCCCCAGAACCTGGCACACAGTAGGTCTCAGAGATAGGACAATCACTTTCTTCCTCTCCGCACTCTCCTGATTTCCCTCAAAAGCCCTTTCACTACTTGCCCTGATTCTGCTGATTTCGACACGTTCCTCTGGAAGTACAGAGATCACTTTCCCTTGTCACAGGGATCACTCCCCACTCCCCCCAGCCCCTCCCCAGTCTCAGGGATTCATTTCCTTTCCATGTGCCTTATGATTAGAGCGACTGCGTATCTTCTCATCCAAACGAAGACACTTTTGAAAGTGAGAGGGTCATCTTAGTAATTATGCCTGCCAGAAAAAGAGGCGTGAAACTGGGTTGTCCCAGATCCATCGGGACCTATGGGACACGCTATTTATGATGTTATGTGTGGTTCAGATGTGGCCACATGCTGGCGTAGTTTTGCTTTCTGAGGCTTATCTTTATGGATATCTAATAATCTCATTGTACACTTAGTCCTTTTGAGAGGACAGGGTTTACTTCTGTGACTTACTCAAGCTAGCCAGAGATTAATGGAAGCAATGGGAGTTATAAACAGTCTGAATTGTAGCCTAGCTTTTGACCGTTTTTCAAATGCTTGTTCCCCATTTCTCTCATTACCAGAAAGCCAAGCCATTTTAGCTCCATAGGGTACCACTCAGAATATAATTGAGGTTTGAATAAACAACACATGTGGCTTTTAAGGTTAAACGAATATTGTTTGACATACAGTACACTAGAGTTGTTTTTCATTTTGGTTTTAAAAATTGGTTAAAATTACATCTTGTTGCTTCTCGGAATTAACTAGAATCCATCTGTCTCCATTAGAATCAGTGTTTTTTTGTTTTGTTTTGTTTTTGTTTTTTGTTTTTTAAATAAAGCCTTGGCTGAAAAAAGAAGCTCCCTTTCGAGATAATTTGTCCAGAAAATCAGGAGAGGAAAAAAAAAAAAAAAGCAACAGAACAGGTTTTAGGGTACTGGTGCTAATTTTTTTTTTCTTTGATGTATTTTGTCCCTTAGATATATCTTCAATATATCTAAACTATAGTGTCTGAGATGGTAAATGGACAGACCTATAATCAGCTCTCCAGACAGATTTGGCCCAGGTCACAGCTGAACAAAATGTGAACGCCGAAGAAGATTCTTCCAGTTTAACTATGGTTCAAATTATATAGAATGACTCCTTGCATACAGAACATTCCAGCTTAGCGAATGCCATTTCGATGACGTCAAAAGCTCAAAGGCAACCGAAATAGTAGTCATTCTTACTTGAGAAGATATATACAGAAGTAATGGCTCCAGGAGTTTATAATTGAAGTGAAATCATTCCAATTGAGGCACACATGCCTGCCTATGAGTGCTTAGGTGTTGTGACACGTTCCTCTGAACTTGGGTTGCAGGACATTAGCCATCCGCTCCCGTGCCATCTCACCTCTCTGCTCACTTAACAGGGACGACCTGCTTTGGGATTCTGCCTGGACTCTAAGTATTTCAAGACACTGTCTAAAAGCCCGTTCAAGACTCTAGGGTCTAAGTGCAATAAATGGAACTTCTCAGAGGGTCATGCTAAGTAAACCTTCCATGTCAGTACCAACCATTAAATCTATGTTTGCAAAGGGCGTGTTTGGTGAGGAAAGCTCTTCTAGCATTTTTCTTTTGTGATTGTTCTCTTTGGGCTACTTAGATTAGGCTCGAAAACACATCCTATAGCTTTTCCGTTGTGTTCTGCCGTTTGCTGGTGAATCTCTTCTGGTTTCCGGTCTTCTCTCTGGTCCCCTATTTTCATCTGGCTCACGACAAAGCTTAGACTCACCACTGCCAGCGAAAAGGGACCAAGTACATTTAAGTTCATCCCTACTCATTCACTGTCAAGGGCAGTGCCATTTCCCAGCTGTTCAAATTTGCAAGGCTAGCATCCTTTCATTTTAAATTTTTTTTAAAGATTTATTTATTTACTTGAGAGAGGGAGAGAGAGAGAGAGAGCAGGGGAGAGGGGCAGAAGGAGAGGGAGAGAGAATCCTCAAGCAGACGAGTCCCCTCTGAGCATGGAGCCCAACAGATGCAGGGCTCGATCCCAGGCCCCTGAGATCATGACCGGAGCTGAAATCGAGAGTCAGATGTTTAACCAGCCGAGCCACCCATGTGCCCTCCCACCACCACCCCCACCTTAGCCTCCTTTTACACTGTATTCTCTTTTGCCATCCTCCTCTGTTATCAGATCTCCCATTGGGATCTTATCATGGCCTTTTTATCTGAAGTAGTCTGGTTGGCCCCTTCTCCATGATTGCAGAGATTCTCAGGGCCTGTCACATGTTACTACAACAGCCTCTTGTTTGGCCTCCCAGATTCCAGGTGCTCCCCAGGTAGGGGACACTCCATCACCAGGAGAAGCTGCCACAAATCACCATCTTTTACTGTAGGAACCTCTACATAAAAATTGGTTGCAAGATAAAATGTGAATTCTTTAGCCTCTTTCTGAAGTCTATACAGCAATTATTTACCACCCTTATTTACATCAACAACCAGTCTCCCTCCCTCCTTACCTCTCTCTTCACCCACTCCCCCCCTTCCTTTCTTTCTCTCCACCATCCCCATTTCTCTTGTTTGACATCTGAACTTTCTACTCCAGCCACACCTTGCTGGCTGTCTCCAGTGTGTTCCTCACTGTTTCCAAAGCTCTGCTCCTTTGCAAATGCCATTCCCTTCGGTCAGGCTCCCCTCTGCCCCCATCACTGTATGTTTATGCCCTATAGTGTCTGCTTCTAAAGACATGACTGATTCTTTTAGGAAGCTTTCCATGATTATATCTTAACTGATCACTCACCTAGTCCATATCTCCCAAGCGCATCTTTTTTTTAAAGATTTTATTTATTTGAGAGAGAGAATGAGAGAACATGGGAGAGGGGAGGGGCAGAGGGAGAAGCAGACTCCCCACTGAGCGGGGAACCTGACGTGGGGCTCGATCCGGGGACTCTGGGATCATGACCTGAGCAGAAGGCAGATGCTTAACCGGCTGAGCCACCCGGCACCCCTCTCCCAAGCACATCTTGACCACGCATTATTTTTTTTTCCATGAGATGATCTTTACATCATGAAGAGTTAAAGCCATAACTTCGTTACATATCACTACCTGATAATATTGCTATCAAAGGAATTTTGGGGTATTTTGCAAGTCCTAAAACCCAGTGGTATTACCTAATTTTCCCTCATAGTACTACCACCTCCTTGAACCCGTAACATGTGACTATGTCCAAGCAGATTTTGAAAGCTCGAGGGATTCAAATAGAAATTCAAATTCAAATAGAAAATTCTTAACGCTGATACTTTCTGGTATTTCCCGTTATCCCGTGAAATACATGGTTTCACTGATACCAAGAGTAAGACCAAGCCCTTCCCATCAACTCGCTTGGTCATCGATAACACAAGGTAATAACCTAGGAAATTGTCCTGTGGTTTGTGATCTTTAATCGGCTGAGGAATATCACTGTCTGTGCTGTGTTGTTCTGAAGGCTAAAAGTAGGATCTTCCTCCTACTAGCAGTACTCTGACAATGAGGCAATGATAGGTGTTCACTGTTCAGAGACTAGAACACACAGACCCAAAAGAAGGAATCTCAGGCAAAAAACAGAGGAGTGCATCTTGGGTATCAGTTACATAAACATTCCGGCCACCAGAAGTTTTACCTTAACTTTCAGACCAGGTCATAACTTCTCAGAGATGTAAGGGTGAATTTAACAAATTATGACAGACCTAATCCTCGAAACTCTCATTTTTGAAGTGTAGTTTAAACACAAGTTATGTACGACCTGTGAAATACTTAACTGTCACTGGAATAAAATAAGCAAAGGTGAGGCTGATGGCTATATCACAGTGGAAAGTTATTATTTTCCCTTTTGTTTCCCAAATTTTGTCCAGTGTGAATGGATGGGCTCTTTCAAAAAGTGTCAACTTTCTTCAGAGTTGTTTTTGAAAAATGAGGCAGACCCAGAGAGAAATCTCTCAGGGTCACTTTGTGAGGGACAGCCATTTTTTTTTTCCCGGGAGGGAGACAGAGACAGAGACAGAGAGAGAGAGACGGGGGAGTGGCAGAGAGAGAATCTTAAGCAGGCTTCACACACAGCGTGGAGCCTGGTGCGGGGCTCCATTTCACGACCCTGAGATCATAACCTGAGCCGAAATCAAGAGTCAGACACCCAACCGACTGAGCCACCCAGGTGCCCGGAAGGATAGCCATCTTAACAACAGTTAAAAGTCTGGAGAAATTTGGGATCATAGAACCAAAAACGTGGCTAGGTCACAAGGGTGATGGTTTTCCCTTCTATGTATGTATGACTCTTTCTTTATTTTATAATAAACAGGGGATGGAGAATTGTCGTGGGAACATTCTGATGGTGATATCTTCCGGCAACCTGCCAACAGAGAAGCAGTAAGTGTGAATAGCTCAAATAATTCAACCCTCCACAGCACCAGGCCAAACTTTCCTCTCTCCATGGCTATTATCCCAGCAACTCCATAAAAGGGCCCATTTCTAACACCATCGCTCTTTCCCTTTACTCAGAAAATTAAATGGCATTATCACCAACCTCTAGCCATTTAAGTACACTGTATAATTGGTAACTAGGGCCAGGACATGAACACAAAGAAATCACAGCCCCAGCCCTTAGGTACCCCCACATAGATCAGAAATTGTTAGCCTTTCGGGATGGCTTGCCAAATCTTTGTCTTCTGGAAAGAAGACAGGTCACTACCTCTGTCCTTGGTAGCGAGGACCTTCGGTGGGACTGTAAGGTAGGTCCGTCCATCCTTTCGGCAGAGGTACTGTGGACAGGTCTCCATAAAGCCTTTCCTAAGCCTTAGGCTCTCAGTCATACAGCTGCAAGAGAGAAAAGGTAGCAGGCTGCATACTCCTTCCCCACCCTGCATTATCTCATTCCCATTCTCAGGGCTAACCTCACAGAAAGCCTCTCTGTGTATAGCAACAGCATCTCTTGTCCCTGTGTATTTCAAAGTAACTGACAAAATGCCATCCCTCTCTCAAAAACGTATGTCGAAGTACAGCCGTACCTCAAGTGTCTTAAAATCTGAAAAGGAGATGTTCTAGTTCAAGGAATCTATCATACTGAAGGATTTATGAAAATGTACAAAATGTACAAAGGCGTCCACAGTACATACACGGGCATTCACTGGACCCCTGTATAAAAAAGTGTATGGGGCATTCAATGCAGCATTATTTTCCTAAGAGCAAAACAAATGGCAGGAACCCAAACATAAGCAACAGGGTCTTGGTTGAATACACCCAAACTGTGGGACCTGGTGCTGTTGTTAAAAAGAATGCAGGACGTCGAAGAGTACTCGAATGGAGGGATCCCCAAGATACGTTATTTGAACAAAGCAAGGTGCACGATACAACTTCTACTATCATTTCCTTATGTAAAACTTGTGTGTGTGTGCATGAATGTGAATGCATACGGAAAGATCTGGAAGGTCATGTACCAACACATTACGAGTGGTAATCTCAGGGGTGGAAGTGGGCAGGGGGAAAGGGAGGGCATGATTTTTTACTCTCTCTGTTCTGTATCATTGGATGCTTTCCAATGAGCATCAATTCGTTTTGCAGTATATAACATTTGAATGATTTTTTTAAACCTGTGGAATTAGTTCTCAATAAGGACTGTATAGAAGGCCAGAGCCTAGGGAATTATGGGGCAAAACCAAGGATAGGGAAGGTGTGAGGAAGGTGTTGGTGGGGACATAATAAAATGGCCAATATGAACCTCCCAGCACTGCTTCTGACTTGCATGCCCCCAGATCACCAACACACCCTCAGCAGCGAGTTGAAGTGATGTCTGTGTGCTTTATTCTCGGGTCCTGTCATTTTCTAGATGCTGCCATTTCTGAAGGCGTGTGGAAGGATTGTGGGTGGGGTGGAGAACAATACTCTGGATATCTCAAAACAAGCAGCACTCCTGCAAGAGAGGCTGGGCTTCCCAGTTTGTGGGTTCATCTGGACCCCGAGGGTGGGTGAAGTAGAGGGTGGGGATTCGGGAGGGCACCTGTTGTGAAGAGCGCCAGGTGTTGTAAGGAAGTGTGAATTCACTATGTTTGTACACCTGAAACTCCTATTGTGCTGTAGGTTCACTCACTGGAATGTAAATAAAAACGTAAAAAAAAAATTAAGAAGAATTTTTGTCTTCGAGCTCTATCTGCTTTCTAGGAAGTGAGATTCCTTCCATATCCCGACGGATGATGCCAGTCTCCATCTTCTGTGCTGTGAATTTCCTCCTTTTGTCCGCCCTCATTTTTTATTGTGGTAGGACGTTGAGAATGACTAAATTTGCAGCCATCAACCACATGCCCTTCTCACCGAATGTGGGTCTCAGACACCTTCAGTTGGGTGTCAGCGCTAAGCATTGTGGCCAGCTCGGCGGTCCTGCTGGTGAGACCATTGATCCGCCATTCTTCTTGACTTCATTTTATGCCGCCTCCAACCCCACCCTTGTCTTTAAACAAACATATGGGCCCAGTAGACCAAAATGTCCAGATGGTCCCACTTTATTACAAATAAATATTTTCCTTTGTTCCAAAAGGGGTAGATATTGTGGGATGTGATTTGAATAATAAATAGCAACTGTAGTAATAGAAAAATATGTACCTGGCACATAGTTGGCACCCAAGAACTACGAGTTGAAGGAATGGGTATTGCAGGTGGGGTGAAATGTGTGTGAGGGGCTTTTCGTGAATGTTAATGCACGGGAATTTGTCCCACATCAGAGAGAGATGTTTCAAACTCGTTGCTGGCTCTTGACCAGCCCAAAATGAGAAGGTAGGAGAAGCCCTTCTGAATATCTTTTGCAGGCCCAACTTTCTGTATGGGATCAAAAATGGCAGCCCTAACAACACATTGCCAATCTGGTAGACTGTCACTTTAATAGAGCGTTCATATTTACAGGGAACCCTTGAAAACCTCAGTTCAATAGGAACACAGGTGATTGCTTTATTTTGCCAAGTGGGTTGAAAACCATCCCTTTACCAAGTTTTATGAAGTGTGCAGGAAGGACAACCAGTGGCTCAATTATGGCTCCTTTGTAAAAACCTGAAATGGTTTCCGTTTGGTTTCTAGATCACAATTTCACATGCAATGGTCCTAGTACCATGGGTGTGTGTGTGTGTGTGTGTGTGTGTGTGTGTGTGTGTGTGTGTGTTATAGGGAGGGAGAAGTAGACGCAGGGTGGAAAGCCAAAACATGAAAACAAGCAGAATTTTGTTTTGGATGACAGCCAAGCTCTGATTTTACCCCCAAAAGATTATTCAGAGATTTACCATTAGAAAAGTGAAAACTTTAGGGATAGAAACAATAGGGAACAGATAGAAATCCATGTCTCACTCACATTGTCAGAACAATGGTTTGGGAAGGAAACTGGCACAGGTGTCTCCCAGACAGGGATGGTCCCAGGGGGCTGTAAAATGCTCATGGCTGTGTGGATTACAACACATTCTGAAAACATTTTTTATTTTTATTTTTTCATTTTTAAAAAGATTTTATTTATTTAACAGAAAGAGAGAGAGAGTACAGGCAGCGGGAGCAGCAGAGGAAGAAACAGGTTCCCCGCTGAGCGGGGAGCCCGATGTGGGGCTTGATCCCAGGACCCTGAGATCATGACCTGAGCCGAAGGCAGATGCTTAACCGACTGAGCCACCCGGGCGCCCCGTTGAAGACATTTTGTAAATTAACTTTTTATTTTGTGATAACTTTAGATTCACAGCCATGAAGGCACTTCGAAGGCTTTTCCTGAACTGTCCTGTTTTCCTGTCTCTGCCAATAAAACCCTTCCATCTTAGACCTTAGGACATGTAAGGAAGAAATTCCTGGGGAACTTTCTACAATAATGGGGTTTTTCCAACGACCAGAAAAGAAGTGTGTGAGAACCACCTCAAAAGCCTGAGATAGGGGCGCCTGGCTGGTTCAGTTGGAGGAGCCCGTGACTCTTGATCTCCGGGTCGTGAGTTTGAGCCTCGTGTTGGGTGTAGAGATTACTTAGATAGATAGATAGATAGATAGATAGATAGATAGATAGATAGATAGATAGATAGATAGATAGGATAGATCGATCCTTAAAAAAAGCCTGAGAGAATTATCAGCACTTCAAGTCAGGAAATCAAATAATGCCAAAATATTGAGCAGAATAAAACAAAGCATAGCTACATGGCCATTTCTACCTGACTAGTCTTGACCTGCTCTCTCAAGCAGGCTGTTCACAGCTGGGTTTGAAGATAAGCTCCAGTTTCACTCCAAGGCATTGTCTTTTTCTCCCTTGCTGTAAGGTACAAGGTCAGAATGGTCCCTGGTAAGCCTCTTTCATTCCTTTGTTTAGGGGAACAACTCTAAAAGAGCCATTACCCTCGATCAAAATCACACATCACCCCCCCCCCCTTGTGAAAACTGTAGTGGCCTTTGCTATCTTTTTTTTTTTTTAATTTTATTTATTTATTTGACAGAGAGGGAGAGAGAGAGAGACACAGCACAGGAGGGGGAACACCAGGCGGAGAGGGAGAAGCAGGCTCCCCGCAGAGCGGGGAGCCCGATGCGGAACTCAAACCCAGGACCCTGGGATCATGACCTGAGCTGAAGGCAGATGCTTAATGAACTGAGCTAACCAGGCACCCCTGGACTTTGCTATCTTAGCAGACTTTTTTTTAATGATTTATTTATTTATTTGAGGTGGGGAGGGACAGAGGGAGAAACTCTCAGATTCTCCAGTGAGCACAGAGCCCAATGCAGGGCTCGATCCCAAGACCCTGGGTTCATGACCTGAGCCGAAATCAAGAGTTGAACACTTAACCGACTGAGCCACCCAGGTGCCCCTATCTTGGCAGACTTTGATATTTTCTTCAGAGCAGCTTTTAGCCAAATATTTGCAGCCTACTGAGCTTGACCACACATTCCCTCTCCCGCTTTATCCTTCCTTTCCTCCTCTTCTTCCTGTTCATCTTCCTCCCGCCCCCCACCTCCTCACTCTACTGCCATCTCCAAAAACTCGATCTTCACCGTCATCCGAAATAAAACCCTGCCTGGCCTCAGTTTCTCTGTCTGTAAAACAAAAGCTTTAAACAAGGCGAGGTTCTGGGGGGCTGATCAAAATCCTTGAGGTTTTTTGTTTTTTTTGTGTGTGTTTTTTTGTTTTTGGGGGTTTTTGTTGTTGTTCTTTGTTTTTGGTTTTGGTTTTGGTGGTGGTTTTGGATCTTTTTTTCCGCCCTTACCGTATGTCCAGGGTCTGAGTGCCTGGTACCAAAGAACAGCTTTTCACTTTGTTCGCTCCCTCATGAATCAGAACTTCTTGTACTTGCTGCTGATCCTGGGTCAGTGGCCTTTTCTCCTGCAAATTCTAGCCCCGTTGAACTCCCTCCCTTTAGCATCATCGGTAGGACACCCACCAGCCAAACCGTCCTCTCTGCGCTCCTTTGGCAAAACTTTGCCAAACTCCAGAAAGGACAGAACAATCTGTAATGGTCTTTGTGGAATGCAAGTGAAAAAGACATATGAGCCATTGTGGGAACGAAAAATATTTGCACTGAGAATCCCATCTGTGTACGTGATAATAAATTGATGCAAATTCTTATTTATGTGAGATTTTCTAGCAATGCATCGGCATGGTGACTCTTCTTAGATTTAGAGGGTTATGTTCTCTTTCTCTTCCTCCGGCTTCTGTTCTCTCTCCCCTTCTCCCACCAATGCCTCCCCCCACCCAAGAGAGTAATGATAATTCCCAAAGCTAAATTTGCAACATGTGTGTCTATGGAACATAACTGTAATAAATGTTTTATGGGCTGGTGGGGTTAGAGGATCTCATAACTACCTTCCAAGGTCCCCTGCCATTTCTAACACTGAATATAAGGATCTTCCTAATGGCCTGCAAAAGATTTTTCAGTGGGTCACCCCTCCTTTACCCCAACAGGGTGCCCCTAAAACACAATGTTATTTATTTGGCTTTTCGATTTAGCGTCTTGTCTTCATTCATTCCACCTTCCTCTGCCTTTATGCTCCCCAGTTCCTGGGAGAGGGGTGGTAGCAGAATGGTGGGTTCATCATGTGTCGAACCCTTGCCAAGAGAGCAATGGTTGCATCATTTGGACTACAAGACTCTAAGCTTTTATTAGGGACCACAGCATGCATTCATTCGTTCGTTCGTTCATGCCATTGGCTGCATTGAGACTCTCAGTGCTTTTTTTTTTTTTTAAGATTGTGTTTATTTATTTGACAGAGAGAGAGACACAGTGAGAGAGGGAACACAAGCAGGGGGAGTGGGAGAGGGAGAAGCAGGCTTCCCGCTGAGCGGGGAGCCCGATGCGGGGCTCGATCCCAGGACCCTGGGACCATGACCTGAGCCGAAGGCAGACGCTTAACGACTGGGCCACCCAGGCGCCTCTGAGTCTCAGTGCATCTTATCGTGACTATCCCTGGGTCCCATCTCTTCCTCCTATCCAGTTCACCCTATACATAATCAAGGATCACTGCTTGGAAACATAGTTCTCTTTCCCTGCTTAAAAAAAAAAAAAAAATCCTTCAAAGGCTCCCACACCCTCACCTCTGTCGCCTACTGAATCAAGTCCTCACCCCTTATTAGCCTGTCATTTCAAGTGCTCCATGATCGGGCTGCAACCCGCTTTTGGAATGTTATCCTTCAACTGTTCCCTTTTATGGACTCTATTTTCTTTGCTACACCTTCTCAACTTGGAAATGGCTGCCTGGAATATTCCCCATCAACTCTGCCTGTCCGCCCTTCATGGCCCAGGTCACAAACCCTCCCCAGACAGTTCTCTTTCTCTTCCTACTTCGCATAGCAATTTCTACTTCCCCCATGGTCTCTGTCCCACTCGGCCTGGCCTTGCAGGTTAGTACCTTAACTCTTAACACGTAAGGTTCTTGGGGGCAGGAAGGACACTTTATTTCCCTTTTTTTTGGCTGTTTGCTCCCTCCGAGGTTTGTCTGTGAAGCTTGCCCAGTCTTCTGCAAGGAGAGAGAGAAATCTCAGCGTGCTGTCAAGGCTGTTCCTACTTCATATCCCTATGTGGTTACCGGTGTGGGTGGACACATAGTTAATTTAAGATCAGAGAGCTCAGATCATCGCTACAAGTCATCAAACGAATGACAAACGTGTGTGTCATTCCCTTCCTGCCCTCTGGTGGCTTTCGGGGACTGAGTTTTTCCTTGTCGTTTTACAGAGACATTCCTACCACCGCTCTCATTACGACCCTCCACCAAGCCGACAGGCTGGAGGTCTGCCCCGCTTTCCTGGGGCCAGAAGCCACCGAGGAGCTCTTATGGATTCCCAGCAAGCATCGGGCACCATTGTGCAGATTGTCATCAACAACAAACACAAGCACGGACAAGGTAAGGGGCACGCTCCCTTGGTACCACTTCCGCAGCAGGACTTCCGCTGCCCGCCACCCCTGTCTTTGGTGGGCTGGACCTGGAAAGGGCCCTGTGTCCTGTCCATATCAGACCGACACACGAGCAACACTTACCATCAAGCCTCCAAGCGAGTGTGGACAAGCGACTCCAAGAGACTGTCAGGACTTCCCTAAACACAGCCCAAAGAGCTTAGTTTCTACTTCAGGTGTATCTGTCTTTATTTAGGACAAAAGGCAAGAAAGCGGTGAACCTGATGCAGCCCCCAGCGTTTGTCCGCAGTTGCCCTAGGGGGTCGCAGGTCATTGGGGAAAGCTCCTTGGATCGTTAACGGAAAGAGAGGTGGTTTGTTTTCCGGTTGGGCACCCGATATTCACAGGTACTCAGCACCAGACGCTTTTGAAACTCTTAACCCCGCACCTTAGAAATAGCAATTCTCATACCTCAGGGCACCCGGGATTCTCCCCTGGCCCCTTCCTAAAGATGCGTATTCCGGGCCCCACACTCAGAGATTCTAATTCACATGAGGCGATTGTCATTAGAAATGAGTAATCCAGTAAGAAATCCAGAAACCTCCTGGCCGCGCACCAGGAGGACTGATCAGGTTCACAGGGGGGAGGAGAAATTCAATCAAACAATTGACTGCTTCTTACTTTTTTAGGCATCCTGTCAACCAGCTCTTCAGAGCAAGAGCTCAGCTGGTTCCCTTTTATGAAACCACAAACATGTTTTGTTTCCTTTAAAGGAGAAACAAATCAAAGCCAGTTCCCTGAACGGGTTAAAAGTAATAAATTATTAAACCAAATGATTGAATAACACGGGTGAAAAACAATCCGTTACAAAGAACTCCTACTATAAATCTCCACAAAGCTGGTCAAACCAAAGCTAGTTGATCACATCTGTTACGAGTTAGATGTAAATTTCAGATTACAGATAAAAAACATTGAATCGCTTTTGAAACTAACAGGTTTAAAAGAAGAACATACAAAATAAAACTCTTAATAAAAAGTGGCGACATATTAGAAGAATTGGAAATATTTACTATCGATCTGGGTTTGATTTGAAATGTATTATTTTTAAATTCCAAGGCATTCTGATATGAATTTATGAAATGCGGAGGTGTAGGAGGTGAAGATGCAGTTTGATTTTCAATCCTAAATTGTCTCCAATAGATTCCATTTGCTCTGAAAGTATTTCAAAGCCTTAAAGAAACCTGTGGGGTAATGGACTTTGAAAATTCTAAATCCCATAATTTCCACAGGCCTCTTCATTTCAGGGCAGAGGCTGATCCCTTGATTTTCTCTGTGTCATAACAAAAGGCCCAGCTGGTTTACATCTTTTTCATTGCTCCCATTGATTTGGATGCAGTGGTTCTTTCCTGACCTATTATAGTTCACTGGAGAATCACTTGCCCCCACCCTCATCTCTCAATGCCTCACCTGGATGATACAGAATCATCTCGAGTGTCTGTTGGTGGGGAGAAGGCCGCATTTCCCTCTAGAGCATTGACCTCTCACTCCTGCATCTCAGGGTGCAGGCTCTCACCCAGTCTAGATTGTTCTCTTAGTCCAGATGTTTAGGGGAGAGGGAACCCGGCTATATAACACTGGGGGTCCTATCTGTCCTCCTTAGCTTTCCTGCTAACAGACATGCCCCTCTGAGAGGCATGCGCTTGGTCCCCTGCTTGAGTCAAAGAGGAGAAGTGATAGGACTCCACCATTTTGAACTTGACTCCGGCCTAAATTGGCTTGAAGCAGACTATGTACCCACTTGATCACATTGTCTAGAAGGGAAGAGAGAGGCAGGGTGGGGGCAGGAGAGAGAACAACACATCTGGCCGGTCTTGTCACGTGATTCCATCCCCAGCCCTGAACCTCACCGTCCACATGTCAAGTCCCTGTTTCTATCTCCCTGTAAGTTTGAGAAATTCTCTCATGTAGGTTCTCGGGTTCTTGGAAATCTTTGCACGGATTGACCTGCTAGAGCGCCTAGGACTCTAGCAGTACTTGCAAAGGACAGGAAAAGGCAGCCAACATCATCCATATTTCCAAATGTGACCCAGTGGACTTGATGAGAAAGAAATAGCCCAATGATTCATCCTTCTGAGTCCATTGTCTTGCGGCCAAGTCAGTCAGTTCCTAGAAACGCCCCAAGTGGGGCTCTTTCTCCCAGCCTAGCCCCGCCTCAAGTGATACAACCCACCCTAGAGATATTGTTGATCGGGATGCCGACAGGTCTCCCTGGGTATGATGAGGTGATGGGAATAATGAGAAACACACCCAGTCCCAGTCATGGCTTAAAATCTCCAGAATGTCTTGGCACTTTCAAAAAGGGAGAGAACTTATTCTCTGCCCTCCCCGTTTGCAACCCAGTGGAGTTCTTATCCTGGAGCCTAGCTCCATGTCTTACAGTGGGAGCCGGATATGTCTTGGTTGGTTTACATTAGAGGATGTTCCTGTGGCCCCTTCCCTTCATAGGCCCCTTGGCCTGCAGTTCTTCAGATGCTTGCTCTTTGCAAGGCGCCTTAGAAAACATGGAGCCTTATGACTTCACTTCTGGCCCAACAAATGTGAGACCACCAAAGACTATCTATAGGACAGGCAGTGATTCACTGCTGTGGAATCTCTACAGCCACTGTGAGGTGGGGGCCAGAGGACATTGCCTGAAGATTAGAGGCACGGCAGGCTCTTGCCTTCATGATCCTTTCCCTCTTGATCTCCTATTAGCGCCTTCCTTCCCATGCCAGATGGGAGGCCAGCGCCATTAACTCCATACCTCTCTGTGTTGGTGGATCAGACTCTCGTAGCATGTGATATTCTGAAAGGATTTGCTTTCAGGATCCGGAAATACTGGCCCTTTGGGAAGAGCAATAGTTTCTGCCTCTAGCCTCCCTGGGCAGCCAACGTCTCTGGGAAATTTTCATGCCAAGGAGCCTATCCACTTGGGCCATAGAGATCTTTTGTGAAACTGCAGGTATTAACACTAAATTCTCCTAGCGGTTCCTTATCAGGTACCCAGGGCAGAGGGAACTCTGCTTTCATCCACTGATACATTCCTCCACTTTCAGAAATATTTTTTGATGGCTCACCATGGCCTGGGTACTTGTGAGCATCCAGAGGCCACTGCTAAAGGACCTACTGAGTAGTTGGTGGTGGTAGAACAGGAACTGAGCTTGTTCTTTGGTTTGGCGGTGGGGGGGGTGGTTTTTGTTTTTGGTTACAGAGGCTGCTATGTCAACGTACATCCAACAGCCATGAAAAGGACAAAGGATGTTTGATGTCTTAAGGGGTTCAGGGCTTGGGTTCTGAGCACAAGGGCCTGTTTCAGCTCCCTAGCCTTTAATTTCCAGTCCTGTGTTCTCTTCCAGTCTGTGTTTCCAATGGAAAGACCTACTCCCATGGCGAGTCCTGGCACCCAAACCTCCGGGCATTTGGCATTGTGGAGTGTGTGCTGTGCACTTGTAATGTCACCAAGCAAGAGTGTAAGAAAATCCACTGCCCCAATCGATACCCCTGCAAGTATCCTCAAAAAATAGATGGGAAGTGCTGCAAGGTGTGTCCAGGTAAAAAGGCAAAAGGTGCGTTGGTTGGAAGCCCTGCCTTTGGTTGACTGAGATCCCCACAGAGTCCTTCCCATTGTTCTTTGAGCGTCAAAACCTAATCGATCTGTCACAGCGTTGTAATGACACCTTTGGTCCCACGTAGCCCTAAGTGCCAGACTTCAGCCTGGCTTTTCTAAATTACAGAGAAATTGGATTATGAGGATTATACAGAAGAACAGTAGCACCCATCATTGATGTCACCGTTTACCTCATCAAACACAATCACATCCATGACCCTTTTGAGACAGGACAGGAGACAGGTGAGGTAGGGTGGAAGGATCATGGGTTCTGGGCCTGCGCGAAGTTGCCGTGTGACCTTGGAAATGTGACAAATCTGCCCTGGCCTTCATCAGCCTCATCTGTACAATGGAAAGCTTGGAACAATTAATCTCCAAGCTGCCGTCCAAAGCTACAATTTTATAATGATCTGATTGCTCTATTAAAGATAAAACTGAAGCGTATTGGGTGGCTAGTCCTGAGCCACACAAATCGATAAGAAAACCAAGGTTTGAAGTTCAGGTCACTTACAGCCCATTGTCTTTTCTAGGCCAGTAGAAAATATTGAACTGGTAAGAGAAAAACAAATAATTAAATAGTGGCTCTAACGCCTATGATGTAGGTAAAAATATAGTCTGTAGTGTTGAGGTTGCCAACACTGGGGACTGGTAATTCGTCTAATCCTGGCTCTACCCCTGGTTTCCTGTGTGACCTAGAAAAAGTGACTGCAACTCTCTGAGCTTCAGTTTCCTTCTCTGCAAAACGAGAGGATTAGAGTGGATGATTTCTTAGGGCCTTTCCAGCTCCAACATTCTAGGAGTGAATGAGTGAGTCTGTTCCTTGCACATGAATTTATCTGTCATTTCTTATGCCTACGTGCAGTTTTGTAAACACAGATGAAAAGCCAAAATTTTTTCAAAGTAGGCAGAGAGCTAAATCATGTATTCCTTCAGCGGAGGCAATTCCTCATGATCAGCAGGCAACCATGAACTTAGCCAACATATATTTTTTTGAGCATCCCCACTATATAATATTCCAGTTTTGATCTCAGCCCTTCAGACCAAATCCCATTTCATTGTATGCTTAGGCCTTTAGTGATGCAGGTGATTCAAATAAGAAGTGAACACATCAACTGAACACAGAACAAGAATGGTTACATAAATGGCGGTATAGCCATACCGTGCCATATTATGCGGCCAGCAAAAATCATCGTAGACCAAGATTTAATGACATGGAGAGATGTTTGTGACGGATCAGTTAAGTACAAAGAGCACACTACAAAACAATATGATTCCACTTGTGTTAAAAAAGTAAGTGTTTATAATACACTTAGGCCAAAACAAAAGGCTCTGGAAGGGCATACGGCAGACTGTTAATGATGGCTATCTTTGGATGATTGAACCATAGATAGTTCTCATTTTCTTCTTTTGGTTTATCTGCATTTTTCAAGTTTTCGACAACATGTATTACTTTTGTAATTAGAAGAAGAAGTTATTGTTTAAAGAACTTCCCTCCAGAATCCCAACTGGCAATATGTCAAAGAGTCTGATTGACCAAACCTGTCTCTCTAGAAGAGCGGCTTTGCCACCCTGCTCGGGGGTGTGGAGATAGATACAGAACTTATGGAGCAACGTGGCAGGAGACAGTCTCTGTCCCATTCTGTGTACCTGTCTCTCAGCGAGGCAGACAGGGGTGTCTGCAAATTGAGTGACGCCTGATAGTCACGTCGCCTACTAAGAGTCACCATCCACAGACACCAGGGCACCTGTTCCAGCTCCTCAGAAACCTCAGCACATCAGGGAACACGTCCTCACTCATGCATTTGATCCGGAAGTACGTGTTACGTGCCTGCCGTCTGCAAGACACTGTTATAGGCACTGAGAGAAATGGACAAGCCAGTTAACTAAGGCCACTTGCCAGCGTCATCCTTACACCCTAGCGGGAGAAGAAAGACAATGAACACAAACAACAAGGTGATTTTAGGTTGTGGCGGGTACTGTGAAGAAAGACCAAGCAGGATCAGGGGACAGGGAAGAGGGGGAGGGTGGGCACTTTCAAAAGAGTGGCCAGGGGAGGCTTCTCTGAAGACGCGATATTTGAGTAGTCCTGAGTGATAGAAGGAGCGAGAAAGGGGAAGGTCATGACATCCTCAGCCTCTTAGAGAACAATACACGACGGAGAAAAAGGGACAAAGAATGAGGAGGGAAGATTTGTGTTGAGAAGGGAAGAGAGAGAAATAGAATTCACTGGTGGTCCAGCCAAAAGTTTCATTCTAACAAATGATTGCAGGCTCCTCCAGTCACAAGCGAGGGCCAACATAAAGGATGGGAGTTTTCTTTCTCTCTCTTGCCCTTGTTCCGGTAGAGGCTGGCCTTGCTTTGTGCACCAGTGGTCACCTACAGGGTTGTGTATGACTTCCACTGCCTGAAGGCTCCCCAGCTCCTCTCCCACCCTCACCACACCTCCCCAATATCTGGAATTCCCATAATTACACACTCCTTTTGGTTTACAGCAGAAAACGACCCTGTTGAGACTTAAAAGTTATCTGGGCAGGGATACTATGTCACCAGTCCTCTCCACCTCCATAAGGAAATGCTTTCTCAATTTCTTAGTTCTGGAGAGCTCGGGATACAAGCATTCTCAAGGGAAGTGGAAATGGCCAGAAATAACTTGAAGCACAGTGGGCTTCCTCGGAAGAAAATGAAACAAGGTGAACCTGGAACGATCGGAAGATCCGAAAGCACCTTGAGGTGGAGGGTGTGGCATGAGGAGGATGTCGCCCACTGGGTAGCTTGAAAGCCATACTTTGTTTACTCTTAATATTTTCAGACGCCAACCAGGGTTGAGTCACTGATGGATTTTGTTGTTTGTAGAGAGAGCCCTCCTGCTGAGTAAATTAAGCTCTTGGTGGGGGGGGGTGCGAGACGACTCTTCAGGACGCTGGGAGAACTTTTAGCACATCACAGGTATTTACAGTGCCAACATGGAGATCACGTAGCAGTTATAGCTGTAGCCAGTATTAAGTTGGTGCAAAAAAAATCTTTTAAGGTTTTATTTATTTGAGAGAGAGAGAGAGAGAGAGAGAGAGAGAGAGAGAGAGAGAGAGACAGCATGACCAGGGGGAGGAGCAGAGGGAGAGGAACAAGCAGACTCTGAGCTGATTGCAGGGCCCGACGTGGGACCCCATCCCATGATCATGACGTGAGCCAAAATCAGTGGGACGCTTAACCGACTGAGCCACCCAGGCACCCCTGGTGCAAAAAGTTTAACAGCTGAACTCAGCTCTCATTCTAAAGGTGATAAAGACATAGAGGTCCCTGTATACCCAGAGACCCACTCCTCCCACTTGAAAAATGCTAGCACACATCCCTTAATTACTAACATATCACCAAAAAAGCCTGGCCCACCAAGTAATTAAATAAGTACAAAAGACAAAAGGAGAAAGGAAGCTTGATTCCAAGGGGACCTGCAAACTGAGAAGTCCAACCTGGAATCGTCAAGAGAAGACTGGTTTTGTCCTTACACTGCCAAAATGGTGGTGGGGGTGGGAAGGCTAATCAGGTCAGCAGGAGATGTGCAATAGCAATTTGATTCCAACCTCTGGTCCACATGCATCCAATTGGCTAACAGCGAGTCCCTAACTGGAGTCACAGATCCAATGCACCCGGCACTCAGTGGTTTCATCAGATAATCTTACAGATGACTTCTTGCACATACTCCCAAGTTTTGGGGTGTCCATGGCTTCTCTTTGTTGTTCCTGATTTGAGTGTACACTTTAAAGACACAGCTGAAGAGGGTGCTGATCACAAAGCCAGCAAGGAAACTTAACTCACGGATAACCATATGGGAGAAAAACTCTTTTTTTTGTTGTTGTTTTTTGTTTTTGCTTTTTGTTTTTTGTGTTTTTGTGTGTGTGTGTTTTTGTTTTCATTTTTTTTTGTTTGTTTTTGGGGGGTTTTTTGGTTGGGGGCTGAGGAAGGAGGAGGGCGGAGTGGAATGGCAAGTATGAGGGGGCTGGTATCTTTATGCCTGGAAGCTGAAATCCAACAGTTTAGTTTATACTTTAAATGATCCATAGTTGAGGGATTTGACCAGGTTTTTTTGTGTCTCCCAACCATTCATTTGGCATAGTGTACATATGACTAATCTGACATCTAGGTTTTGGCACTGGTGGTGATCTGGTATTATCGTTCCCCTTACAAACAAATCAAAGAGCATTCAGAAATGTCAAGCCAACTTGAATAGATCCTTTGGGCAAGTATATGCACATAAGTGAGTGTCATAAATGTTTTCTAAGTATACCTAAGTGATGTCAGGGAAGTTAACCAAGGCGTTCTGTCAGCCCATTTCCTGGGTCTCTGTTGGTAACACCGAGCTAAACAGACCATGATCCGGGCCCAGCATGGAAAATCCTATATACCCTGAAGTGCCTCAGAGATTTGTACCCGGCCACATTCTTCTTCCTCATGAAGGTCCCCCTCCTCTGTGGCGGTGGGTGGATCCGGTTTGCTTGATGGGTCAGGGCTCTGCGGAGCTATGGATTCTGTCACCATGTAGACTTCAATGAAAGGTCATGTGTCCCTTTGTGATTTGGTAGCTGTTACAGGGCAGCCTAAACTGAGCCAGGGAAATATTGGGTGGGACTTCTATCTTCGTGAGAATGTCCTTGTTGACTGTCCACGTTGGATGAGTGTGAGGTGTTAGGAACAGCGAGATGCCTGAATGCCTAGAAGTTCGCTTCTGGTTTTAGAAAGCCATTGCAAACCTCTGCTTGCTTCCTGATTCCAGAAGAACTTCCAGGCCAAAACTTTGACAGCAAGGGCTACTTTTGTGGAGAAGAAACAATGCCCGTGTATGAGTCTGTGTTCATGGAGGATGGGGAGACCACCAGAAAAATAGCCCTGGAGACAGAGAGACCACCTCAGGTAGAGGTCCACGTTTGGACCATACGAAAGGGTGAGCAAGACAATATTAATTCCTTATTTTTTTTTGTAAGGGGTGGAGGAACATGGAAGGAGGGGAAGACTCACCTTAATGTTGCTTCAACCTATTCCTCTGTTTGGCTCGGTTCTCCTGATTGCTCAGAAACATGACTAACACATCTGTGATTATGACCTTTAACTTCAACCATGACCTGTCCAAAAAGCTAAGCATTGACCCTTGGGGTTTGTTGTCTTTCTCACACCAACAAAGGCTGGAGGAGTGCTTCTCCACTCTGGCTGCACATCAGAATCTTCTGGGAGAGGTTTCTGTAAATACCAAATGCCTGGGCCCTACCCTCAGGGATGTCGATGGATCAGCCAGAAATGGGGCCTTGGCATAAGTGTTTGTTTTGAAGGCTCTACAGGTGAGTCTAATGTGCAGCTAAGGTCATGACCAACCAGATTAGAGCCTACCATTCTTTCCAACACGAAGCTGAACCAACATGAAAATCCATGCATGTGGTGTGAAGCTACGTCTCTCAAATCATGCTTTGTACTCTGGGGTAAGACACATTGAAAACCTCATCCCTGCCCTCGAGAGGATTTAGAGTCTCACCAGAGGGACAATCCCAGTCATTATGCCCATCCAATTCCTTTTGTGATTACTCACACTGACTGCCACAGCAAGCTACATTGTGTTCCTTGTGGCCCATAGCTCTTCAAGCCATCCTGCAGATACAAGGCTAGCGTTGATCTAGTCTGGTCAACTTTTCTAGGAATCCAAGTAAAGAGGTAAGATTTCACTTGGGAAATAATGCACGTCCTTTCTCTCCTGTTGCCTGCCTAAGGCTCAAGAGTGCTCAGACTTTATTCTGCTTCGGCATCATACAAGGAGCTGGTTCACAACACAGCTACCTGGGCCCGTCCAAGAAATGTGAATTCAGTAGGCCTTAGGGAGCACCTCCGTGTGTCCCAAACAGCCAGTGATTCTAATTCGGGTGGCACTTGGACTGTCCTTTGAGAAACAACTGCTCGAGTGTTAGTGGGGCTTCTTCCTCTCCCTTTTCCCAACTTTCTTCGCCTGAAAAAATGAGTTCCTCCCCACCCCTGAAAAAATATGCCAAAACACACATATTTCCCATCCGTGTTTATTTTTGCACTATACCTAGGAATGTTGGTTTTCCATCTCTTAACTCCCTAGCTCCTCTGGAACTGGTCACCTAGAACTAAGCCCTGTTCTGTTGGCTTCCCTAGCAGCGGACCCACTATTTTTTTGCTCCACACCTCTCACTCCCTAGAGGCATGTGGATGTTTTTCAGCTTGCTGGTGTAGCATCTCAGTGACCTCTTATTCAGTGCTGGGCAGCCAAGGACTGTGCTTGGTGAGCAGAGAAACACCCAGGCTTCAATTACATGGCCCTCTCTAGACCTCCCGAGGATTAAGTAGGCCGGTAACTTGTTGCTCCTTAACTGCAAGGACATTTTCCGTTTGGGTGTTATTCCAATAAACACTTTTCAGGCAAAGTGGAAAGGTGGGTACCGGCCCCCCCCCACTTTGACTTACCCCATTTTCTGTAAGGGAAAGCTAAAGGAGCTGTGAACATTTCCCAAAGGAAAATATGCTTTTCAGTGAGTTTGGGAACAGGGATGGCTTCTCCGTTTACACAAACAACCTGTCTACAGTCCCACGGCTGTCTCACTGCTTGGCCAGAAGGGCAGCCCAGTGGTTTGGCAGGGACATAATCTACCTGGACCTGGGGGCAAGAGCAGAAATTTCCAATACTGCCTTTGGTGGTAGACACGCCCACCAGCACCCATGCTCGATTCCATGTGGCTTTTCCCAGGAGGGGGTCCCATGGTCAGCAACACTATCTTCCATATCTCTATCCTCTGGAGAACCAAGGGGAGGCCAATGAGCCAAGGCAACAGATGGAGTCAATTATAACCCTTGAGCCATCCAAGTTCCTGGTTAAGCACATTACACAGCCCAGCTCGATACTCCTAAGCCCCTGTAATGAGATGATATGCTCAACCCAAGCAGAAAAAGGGGGGGGTGGTTCCAGATAGAGAGGGCCTGACCACCTGCCCCACTTTTTCACTTGGCCCCAGGCATTCTCCAGCACTTCCATATTGAGAAGATCTCCAAAAGGATGTTTGAGGAACTCCATCACTTCAAGCTGGTGACCAGGACGACCCTGAGTAAGTGGTACCTGTCTTTTTTTCCGCCTCCCCGGAAAACGCCTCCAGGCTTCCACGTAGCACAGCCCCCAATAAGGTACCTTCGCATTCTCGGTGAATGTCAGCAGGGCTCAGTGTCGACGTCGGAGGATGTTCTGTCTCTTCTCCGGGGGGGAACTTAGCAGTGGAGGGGGTGTCTGAACGTTAGCGGAAAAGCTTGGACCTGAAGAAAATCCAGATGTGGTCTGAGCATAAGCTCCCTCGAGTCCAGGTTTCCTGACTCTCTTTAATGAACCCTGCTAACCCCAGAGTCTCCAGAGGGCCAGAGAAAGCTCACAAGATTCCGGGGCTGGTTGGTACCTTTGTGGAGATGTCCCGTCTGGAAGGATAAGTCCTCTGGTGGTGGGGATGAGAAAGAGAGAGAGAAAGTGAACGCATCCCAATTTAGCAAAGCTCTGTGCGACTCCTTGGAACTGCCCCCGAGTGGTCCTGTTTCTTTAAAAGCATCCAGGCACTCACTCAGGCGTACCTGCTGCTCTCCCTCTTTCTATGGAGGATGGAACCTAAGGACTAGATACTGCTAGGTATTGCGGGTGGGGGGTGAGGGTTGGGGAGCACTTCTGAAGGAATAAAAGGCCCAGAATTTCTATCCACAGGGAATGCCAATGGGCAAGACAGAACATGGAAAATGGTTTCTCTAAGAATCAATCTAGTTCTGAAGCGTTAAATACTTAAGTACTCGAAGGAAATCAGCAAGGAACAATGAGACGAGAGCCAGGCAGGCTTAGTCAAGGAGAGCTTCAGGGAGGAGGTGTGCTTTGAAAGAGAAGGGTGTGATGGGGCTGCAGGTCAGGAAATCCGTTCAGGGGGAGGGCGCAGCCTAAGAGAAGACTCAGACAGGAGCGAACAAGAAATGTGGGGGTGGACGGCCCTGGAAGAAGCCAGGGAGAAGTTCACGGAAAAGGCAAGTAGCGTGGGTAGTTGCTGCAGACTCACAAAGGGCCTAGCGAGATGGAAATGGTGCTTCGGAAAGACGTCTCTTGGCCCTCAGGCGGATTTATTACATACCTACTTTGATGAAGCCGTGTTCCAAGGAGCCCAGTATGCCATGCTGAGAAGTTGGACTTGCTATCCAGACCCGAGAACCCCAGGGGAGGGTTTTAAGCAAGTGCACAATGCGTGCGGATCTGGTTTTTATTTATTTTTTTATTTTTTTAGAAACTAAGATATATCTCTTAATTCTTTTATAAAAGTTAACAGAAATGCAGTACATCTGTTTTTTAGAATGGGAGTGCCCACTGTGTGGAGTGAAAAGTGAACTCTCAGTGATAAGTAGCTGGTGGTACTCTGAATCAGGAAGCTCTTATACCATAAAACAACAGCAACAACAGCAACAAAAAACAACTCTTATACTATATTAGGTTGGTCACACAGGGAAGGAGAGGTCACCATGAGGGACACCTCTGAGGTTAAATCATCAGGATCGCTACAAAGAAGAGAAGTGAGTTTGGAATGACTCCAGCAGTAACAACTTTATAGACTTGGTGAATAGTGTTAATTTGCTAATGGGAAACTCTGGAGAATAAGCAGGTAGTGAGGGGAAAAACCCGTTTCACTTGGAACATGTTGAGGTGAAGATACTTAAAGGTCATCCAAGAAGAGTTTCTCCTATGGGCAGCAGGAAATAGGGTTGATGAAGTCACTTGTTGATTCTGAAGGAGACTGACGGACGATAAACTGAACATGAGGGAGGAGAGAATTCAAACGAGGGGTTGGGGGTCCTTACATGTGAGTAAGGAACCAAGGGGGCAGAGTCTAGGATCCGGTACCAATGATGTGACTTTTGAAATTACCAATTAATTTCAAAGAACACATTTTTGTTTCTACCGTGAGCAAGGCACTGCGCCGGGCACTGGGGGGCTTGAAAGATGGTTGAAACAAGCTCTCTGTTTCATAACAGGATTTGGGGTATATAATGGAAGTAGACAGTGTGTGCCTCCAGCTGTGTGCAGCTGAAGGAAGTGGGGACTAAGATGATCCTGCAGGGGCACCTGGGGACAAAGAAAAACAAGCCTGACCCTTTCTATCATGTGGCCATCAGATCCCGGCACCCAGCAGGGCTTCGGTAGAAGCCGGTTCCTTGCCCGACCCTTCTCTCCTTTCCCATTGAGTTGGAGAGAACAGAGAAAAGTGAACGATCCAAGGGAGACAGGAAGTGGAGACATCGAGTCCGTAAGGAAAGAGGGTCATGATCTTCTATGGCCAGGGAAAGAGAAGAGGTTGAAAATAGGTTCTGGATGAAGAGGAGCTCACTGACTTTGGACTAGGAGTTCCCCAGGTTGCAACACCACGAGAGCAGGAATGGAAAGACCAGAGAGGATACCCGGGGTGGGCAGTTTGTTACAAAGATCATTTGCCATGGCAAGGTGATAGCAGGAGAAGGAAGATCTTGCCACTTGAGGATCAGGAAACTCCGAGAAGGTATGGGTCCAGAAGAAGGATGATCTAGAGTGGTTACCAGTCAGTGCTCAGCACAGAGTGTGAACTCAAAAATGTTTGCTCAACTAGCGTGACGGAATGGGGAAGAGGCAAGTTGGTAAGGACAGGCTGGAAGTATGGGCACGTCCCTGGAGGGAGAGGAAAAAACAGGGAATGGGAGGGATAGCACAGGAGGGGATTGAGGGATGCTAAAGGGGGTGTAAAGAGCATGTGAGCATAGGAGAAAACAGAGGTGGGCAGTCGTTAGCAAAGGGTGGCATGGATAGAGAAAAGAGCAGTAAATAATCAAGTCCCCTAAACTGGTATCTGGCCCCCCAAAAGTAAGCAAAGCCTCAGTAACACACAGGTACTGCTTTATTTGACCTGGTGCCAAGTGAGCCACCTAAACAGCTCACAACCTGATAGCGGGGCATTTCACAAATGGTACATATACTGCAAAAATTCCAAGAATAATACTTAGGTTTGACTCTTGAGGCCGTTACGTATTATTCTTGGGATTCTTACAAATCCTGCGTATTGAAATGAACACTCCATGGCCCGTTTTCCATATCTGTCCCCAGAAATGTGTTTTGCGGGGCTGTTCTGAAACCACCTGAAGTTTGTATTCCGACCACCCCCCCCCCCCCCCCCCCCCCCCCCCCGGTGAGCGAGTGGGTAAGGATCGGGTAGATTGGTTACACTCCTAATTGGCTCTGTCCTCTTATATGTCTGGGCTACTCTGTTTGCTTTGTAGGCCAGTGGAAGATATTCACCGAAGGAGAAGCTCAGATCAGCCAGATGTGTTCAAGTCGTGTGTGCAGAACAGAGCTTGAAGATTTGGTCAAGGTTTTGTACCTGGAGAGGTCTGAAAAGGGCCACTGTTAGAGAAGACAGACAGTATTGGAGAGGGTAAAGCAAGAAAACTCAAGCTGCAGCTGGACTGCGGGCTGATTTTGCTTAAGTCAACAGTACCCTAAAACCCCAAACTCAAATGCAGTTCATTATTCACGCCATGCACAGCATAACTTGCTCCTTTATGTGGAGTGGTGTGTCAGTCCTTAAACACCTCCTGCAAAGGGACTAGAAGAGTCTTGAATTATTTGTGGGAGGAGGAGGGCTAGAACACCACAACACTGCTCTAGTTTCTGGGAGAATCACATTTCTTCACAGGTTAAAGAGTAAACAAAACCCTAGGGTTTCTATCTAGAAAGTTACTCCAATGAAAGGAAACAGATGAGAATTTGCTTAGTAGGAGTTGTGTAGTACGGAGAAAATATGTGTATGAAATTATACTCTTTGAATTTTAGGATGTCTTGTGTTTTTAAGAAAATATTAACTCCCCATCCTCATCCACACACACACACACGCCTGTGTGCAAGCATGCACGTGTACGTGCGCACGCACGCACGTGCGCGCACACACACACACACACACACACACACACACTAAACTGCCGCCTTCCTTCTGAGGCAAAGCCAGCATAGACTCTCCCCTCCTTTCCCTCGCCTGGCTCCCAAGTAGCTCTGAAGTTGTGGGTACCCAGGAGGATAAAGAAGGAATTGTGAGCAGAAGGTCAGTGGTGTGGTTGCTGAAGTCACCAACTATGGTGGCAGGGTGAAGAATAAGAACACCATTTCATGGCCACATTCACTTTGAAGCCATAAATAACTTTTCCCTAGTGATGCCACTTCTCTTTTCTCCCTGAGCCTGTGGGGCCCCCGTAAGGAAGTTAGAACTGAGTAAAATCTTCAGAAACTGAATCCACTGAAGACAAAATAATTGTCGAAGAAAATGGTGGATGGAAGTCAACAAGGAACCCTTATGTGTTTTCAAGTCAATAAGAGTCACCAACAAATAGCTCAATACTCACTGATTTTCTTGATAGCCAGAGTTCTGTAGTCCAAAAATTTAGGTTAAATGATTACATTCTAGAAGCTTCTTAAAAGGGCAGTTTTCCTTCTTCTCCAATTACAGGAGTTCATTTTGACTTTGCAAAGGGGCTCAGTCCCCACAAGCTTCTGAAGGTTGGCTGTTCAGTTGGGAGAATTGTTGCTCATATGGGGAAGTGGACGTTCTGATAAGGATCTTTGTTCTAAACTTTCCTACCGTTCTCATCTCATCCACCAAGCGGGGATTTACTGTCTATTCACAGCTCGATACCAGAGCAGAACTTACCGTTCTGAGGCCTGGCTTTAGACATCATCTTTGTGGCAAAACTATAAATTCTCCACAAGGATCTCAAGCCTGCCTTCTAGAGTCATCCCTTCTGAGGGGCTTGAATGAACTCTAATGAGTACTCAGAAGTATCAAGGACGCAGACATCCTGTATTTCCCACTCCATGACCATAGGAGAGAGGAACATTATTTTCCTTACAAGTCAATGACACCAATAGGGAAACATGTAAAAATCTTTATGGCGACCTGGCATAATGGAGTCTGTTCTCCTAAAAGAGATATAGGGGCGCCTCCTGGCCAGGCCTTCACCGGACAACCCTCCTACCAATGCTTCATACATACTCTCCACAGGAAAGGGAGGGAGGACATCCAGGGCCGAGAGGCCAGAGAGCATTATTGGGGACGAGGCTGCTAAGTATCTGCGGCCTCCCTCCCAGAGGTGGCAGCATTTCCATAGTGTGGAAACAAGTAACTGGATCCTCAAGCCAAGTGGTGATTTCCCCTTCTGGATGACTCACCCCAAAGCCTTCCCACCCAGGTGTTCTCTGAACGCGCAACCATAAGGGAACACCCAGAGAGCTTCCCTAGATAGACGTCTGCCCCCAGGTGCTGGGACACACCTTTCCAAAGTGCTGTGTGAAGCCGGGGCTGGGGAGCTGTGCTAGGCCAGCGGAGAAACCTTCCAGTGTTCTGTGTGGTATAGGCAGTGAGGCATGGGGAGAAGAGGCAGAGTCCGCTGTAGTTAGGAGGGGAATGGATGTGGTTCTTCTTGTGTATTTATTTGTATCATAAACACCCGGACCAACAAAGACCATAAGCACCATTTAGCAGTTATAGCCATGTTCTAGTTAACTCGTGTAAACAAGTAAGAGTAAACTTAAAGTAACAGTATTAGCCTTTTGTTCTTCTTACAGGACATGTACCTAAATAGGGTACTTATTTATGTAGTCACTGTATTTCTGGATTTTTAAGTTAATAAAACAGTTAATTTTGAAAAATCATCTGCAGGAATGCTGCGGGAGTGATTGAGTCTCTGGTCGGTGCTGACCTTGGACCAAGTAGCGGGCGATGGGTGGGCTTGGCTGTTTCACACTCAGCTCGATGCCCCCTTGCTCCCACTGTGGCAACTTCACTGAGAGTGGGGACTTTGCGGTCAGACTGCCTGTGTTTTTAATCTCAGCTCTGTATTTCCCAGCCATGTCAGTCTCCCCATCTACAAAACGGGGGTGAATATGGCGCTGTTGCCTTTTGCCTGCAATCCCACGGTGAGGCTTAATCTAGCCAGCGCACGTCAGGGGATTAGCAGACGTTCATTTGTGACCATGGAAGTTCTCGAAGGGCGTGGCCAAGACACTGAAGAGATTGAGGACAGAAGGCCACTGACTTGGGTTTCAGGAGGGCCTCAATTTCAGACTGCTGCACAGGGAACAAGGGAAGAGTTTTGTCATATATGTTAATCCAAACCAAGTTGCCTCAAACCCCTAAGAGCAATTAGATGTGTGCTACCACGGAAGCCCAGAGAGCCTAAGTGTCAGATATAATAAGGGCACCAAAGTGTGCACTGGGCTGAGTGACACAGAAGTCATTGGTGGTGACGTGTTGGGGGAGTGATGGGAGCAGAAGCCAGAAGTGAGTGGGGAGGTGAGGAATTGGAGACAAAAATTAGAGCCACTCCTTGGAGAAGCTTCATTACAGAAAGTAGAGAGATTACATGAAGGAAGTAGCTGGGAAAAGATATGGGGTCAAAGGAAAGTTTTGGGGTTTCTTTGGGTTTTTAAAGATTTGTGTATTTATTTCAGAGAGAGAGTGACAGAGTGTGCAAGCAGGAGGAGGGGCAGAGGGAGAAGGTAATTAGACTCCCCGCCGAGCATGGAGCCCGATCCGGGGCTAGATCCCACAACACTGAGATCAGGACCTGAGCCAAAACCAAAGGTCAGACGCTTAACCGACTGAGCCACCCAGGCGCCCTGGCAAAGTTTTTATTTCAAATATGGTAGATACTTGGCCATGTCTGAGTACTGAAGGGAGAGACCCTATGGAAAGGAAAAGATTGAGGGTAATGGGGAAAGAAGTGTTATCTTGGTGTGGGAGGTGCGTGAGAAGCCATTTCCCCATGCTGAGCCTTGAAACCCACAATCCTTGACCTACAACCTGGCCCGAATTTTGGCCTCTGGTCGCCTACCCCTTACTGTGCATTTCGCTGTACCTAGTTCCCCTCATCTCTGTTAGCTTGCCCCCACCCCGCCCTTACAAAACCCAGCAAACCTTCCTCTGCAACGGTGGGCTCTAAATCCCCACATTGCTCCACCTCCAGTGGGGGAACCACATAAAACTTAAGCCAGACACTCTGGCTCCCTCCGGTACTCTTCCTTTGCCCTGATCACCCGCATCCTGGCAATATGGTCTCCTAGGAGTGGCCCATGTTTATTGGTGTTTGCCCTTCTCGCCTCCTGCAGGATTTTTCCTCTCTGTAGTCTCCACACCAGGGTGATTCCGAGGAAGTCCCAGAGGTCATTTCATGTGGGCGCCACCCACTGCTTCCCTCACCACATGTCTTCTGACACTCCTCACCACTACCCGCTGGGATATGGCTGGTGGGGGCTCCTTCTGCAGGCCTGGAGGCGCCAGCATGGTGGTGGTGGCTGCTCCGGAATCCCCAGTGGCACCTTATCCTGTGCGCAAGTGGAGAGAATGCTCCCCTCCCTCCCCACCTGTGATGTTATATGTTGCCACCTTCCGTGAAACCAGTTTAACACATAGGCAGGGGGTCTTCTTGTGCCTCAGAGTCTCTTGGACTTTTGCACCGAAATGAATCCTTCAGGTTCCATTTCCAGCCCTTTCGTTGCCAGGACGCAGAGGCTGTGCTGAGTATAAGCCTCTAAGACAGACATGAGACTGTCCTCCTAATCCCTCTTCCTTATGGTTCCTGTGTACGGCCTCTGTTCCCCACTGAACCCCTCATGCAGACTGACTTCAGAGGGCCCACCCCACCGGTCAGCCAGACAAGCTCAGACACCTCTGAAACCTCTCCATGGGAGACAGGAGTCCTTAAATGCAGAGCTCCAGCGACAGCACACAGTCTCGCAAATAGTTCATACACATTGACAACATTGTGCCTTTCTATATACTCTTCCCACCACTAGAATGTTCTTCCCTCTCCTTTGCCCAGCAGACTCCTACTCATCCTTCAAGACCAGTCGAAATGTCACCTCCTCTGCGGAGCCTTACCTGCTCCCTTCCTAGTTTGCTACCATTTATCCTTTCTCCCTATGTACTGTATCCTCCCGCCATGCCAACTCCATTCTTCTGGAACTTAGTACCTAGTATGAAGTCCTTAGTACTAAGAAGTACTAACAAGAACTAGTACTTAGAAGTCCTTAGTACTTCTGTTCCTTTGCGCCTAGCTCCCTCTGCCTGGACTATTCATCCCCTGATGTGTCCATTTAATGAACACCTACTCATCTTTTAAAAACTCACACTGCTCATCTCAGACCTGGTCCACCTCTTTCAGGCACAGTTAGTTGTGCCCTCCCCCATGCTCTTACGAAATAACAACCAAAGCACTTAGCTCATGCCGGTCTCTGGAGTACGATCTGTTGACACGCGTGTTTTCTTAGTTAATCCTCAACCACCGCCCTGTGCGGTAGGTCCTATTATTGGCGCTATTTTAGAGATGAGGACATTAAGAGCACTCACCTTTTCCATGCCATTACAGTGGACCCTTTAATAACTCGGGGATTACAGGTGCCAGCCCCCCCGCCACAGTCAAAAATTTGCATATAACTTTCGACTCCCCCAAAACTTGACTACTAAGAGCTTCCTGTTGACCAGAAGCCTTACCGATAACATCAAGAGTTGATTAACACATAGTATGGATGTTATATGTAAGATATACTGGATTCTTACAAGACAGTAAGCTAGAGAAAAGGAAATGGTATTAAGAAAGGCATAAGGAAGAGAAAATACATTTGCAGTACCGTACGATGCAAAATTTGCATGTTGAAGTGGACCTGCACAGTTCAAACCCATGTTGTTCAGGAGTCAACTGCGTGCATAAAAATGACATATTTGCTCAGCCCCAGTCTCCCTGATTAGACTGGAGAGCTCTGAGAGGGCAGAGACCCGGTGCCCAGCACCTTTAGGCATTCAATAAATATTTGCCAAGTGCATGGTCAATCTAGTGAGATTCTTTCTCCGGTTGAGAAAGAAAGCAGGCCAGAGATTACTTAAATATCCAATCCTTCAGAACATCTCTGTCA